TGTCAATTTTTGGATTATCTTCAGCTCACTTGACTTGAACCCAGGATTACCTTCTACAGTACGGCTAATGTAATCAAACATGTATAATCATTTGTATGGCGTTCTTACAATCCTAATGGATACTTGAATCATTACATGCTTGTTCTCGGCTATTCTCATGCTTCAGAGCCTTCAGTCATCACGGGGAGGGGGGGGGGGGGGGGGGGGGGGGGGGGGGGGACTCATATCAGAAAAATCCAAAAAGGGTTCATGTCAAGTGAACAAATCTCAGCAGATTTCAGCATGCAGGTTTCTCAGACTGGTGAAGCTAACTTGTCTTTTGATTATTTCCCCAACAACCAACAAAATATCCCAATGTCTTACTTATTAAACCTTCAATTGCTGCAAAAAGAGAGAGAGGAGAGACATGGAAAAAGATTTGTTATGGATTCTAGCAGGATGACAATGGCAGACAAATCAATTCCAAACATGGGAACTTGTGGAGTCCACTGAATGGTTTCTAGTTCATGTTTGAAAAGGCTGGTCTCTCTTCTCTGACATTTACGCTAACAGCTACATATACTATAAAGCTTTAAGTAACATATATGGAGAACTATACTTCTAAACATTACAGAGTATCTTACAGTCTATATTGAAGACATGTCGTGATGACTTGTCTAACCTGGAGAACTCTTCAGTCCAAAGTCTTCGTCCTGCATTTCAATCAGCACTTTAACATGCCATGAAGCGGAAGAAGAAAAACAACTAATGAGAATTGGCTTAAACTGCTTAACAAAAAGGCAAAGAAAGGGTGAAGGAGAGAAATATATTTGTTGATAGTGATACAGTGGCCTGGATGACATATGGATGCAGTTGGGCTGTCCAGCAAATAAATGATAGCTGGATACTAACGTCCAAACCAAACAGTCCTCTGTCTCCCCAGCATAAAGTTGAAATGTTGGCTTTGGTGTGTCGACAAAAATCTCAGTTTCTTCCTCATGTGTTTGAACTCATGCAGGAGAAACTATATAGCAACTTTACCTGCACAGTCTGCCCAGTTACTGCATCTTTAAGAAGCTTGACTGCAATTAATTAAAGGCCATCAACACCCTCCTTCACAGATGATGAGTGTTGAGCTGGCACAGATGCTACACAGAGCTCTAGTGTGTATTCTTCCACATCAACTAAGTTCATGGAATTATAGAAAGATCCACTTTTAACAATTTAACATTAGTCACATAAACTACTGTACTGTATACAGTCTCATTAATGAGATGTAGATCTTTGGAAAACAGCATTGAGAAGCTGTTTGTGCCAAGATGTTTGACTATTATTAACCTATTATAAAGGCTTGTTGCTGGTTAGCTCTGATATACATTGACACAGATTTTCCCTCTGACCACAGGAAAACTAACAATGAAACAGCAACTCAATTTTGTTGCTATTCTATTATGAAACATTATGAACAAGCCTTGAATTTCATAACAATTGAAAAACTGACTTTTGCACTCTTCCTGAGAGTAACATACCACTCCCATGTCTGTACACTAAATGTGTGGCTGGAGCCAGCATCTGGTTAGCCTAGCTTAATATAATAAGCATCTGGCTATCTTATTTTAGCCTAACTAACATCTGGTTAGCTTAGATTAATATAACTGCCATCTGGTTAGCTTATCTTAACATAATAAGTGCCTGGCTATCTTATTTTAGCCTAAGTAACATCTAGTTATCTTAGATTAACACAACTAGCATCTGGTTATCTTAAATTAACATAACTAGCATCTGATTATCTTATTTTAACATAATTAGCATATGGTTATCTTATCTTAACATAACTAGCGTCTGGTTAGCTTAGCTTAATATAACAAGCATCTGGTTAGCTTAGCTTAACATAACTAGAAGCAGACTAGAAGCATGAAGAAACAGCTAACCTGCCTCTGTCCAATGTAAAAACAACAAACTCAGGCTAGCTGTTTACCCCTGCTTCCAATCTCTATGCTAAGCTAAGAGAACTCTTGGCTGTAGCTTCATATAGCTTCTCATATACCATACAGGGATCTTAAATCTACTTAAGTAGTAGTTTGAGTTTCTCTGCCGTTTATTGTTTCGTTATGGTTTAAATACTGTGTCAGACACGTTCCACCTTGAACACAGTTAGAGAGCGAATAATTTATTTTACTATCAACAGTTGGCTGTTTATTAATGTGCTCAGATGTTGCTCTGTACTGTGTGGAGTTCCCTCACCCTCTGAGTTTTGGCGTGAAGTGGTGCCGCGGGCTCTGAAGGCATGCTTCGGCCCTCTGTTCTTCTCATTGAAGCTCCAGCTCTTGGTGACCTTGCTGGGACTTGCTTCAGCCCCCTCCTCTGGCCCCGGAGACTGGACCTTCCCCTTGGCTATGGGAGCCTTGGAAGGACTGGGAAACACCTTGTCCTTCAGGCTGGCCTTCCGACTACAGAGAGCAAGTAATGAGAACGGATATTTAACCAATGTAATTTTTTTGTTTTTTGTTGCTTTTGTTTTGCAGCTTCATTGAATGAAAGTGAATAACTATCTGTAACTAAACGTCTTAATCCTACAGTTTTGCTGTTTTAATTGTAATCTTGGGAATTAGTAGAATTCAGCACCGATGTGATAGTAAATCTTACCTCAGCAGAAATGCAAAATGGGCAATGTCCTACAGCAGCAGGAGCCATGTCCACATACGAACATAGTAGAGCATTCAGTGGGTCAGGCAAGAAGCAGGAAGCTACGAGCAAGCATGCATGGGAAGCAAAATGATACTGCACGTCTCAAAAGGAAGAGCTGTGGTCTCACTTTAGGCAGAAAGTGAACACAAATCATGCAAAATAATTCACCATCATACTGTATGCTCCGCCTCATACACAGGAATCGATCAAAGGAAACGCATTGCTACGTACTCAGCGATATGCACCTTGCCTGCTGAACAGAAGTTTATAAATGCTGATTAAGCAAAAAAAGGCAGCAAGCAAATCAACTGCATAAAGACATTACTAAACAGAAACCATAAATCAACTGTGACAGGACGGTAAACAAACATGTAAATCCGCCTTTATTCTGACGAAAAGGTAAAAGATGTGGGCAGATTAGCTCTTGTGTTTATTTTAAGCATAAAACTTTTCATGTAGACATCATTGACAGAGCTGTGCTACCCTCAGATTTTATCGTTCACAGAGTGACATATAATCTAAAAATGTCCTTATTCTGTGATTTCCTCTACCTTTACTGTACTTCTGAAGAGGAACAGAGGTAGGAATGGATGGGGACACACAGACTTGCAGTGCAGTTGTTAGTATCTGTGCAGCAACTATACCTAATAGTTCTCGGACAGCACCCGCAAAGTCTGTCTTTGTGTGCATTTTCATTACTGGAGTGGTGGGCAGTAGAGGAGACACAAAAAGATAAAATAGCAGTGGATACAGTCACAAAAACAGCAGTGTGTGCCATACTGTGATGCAGGTAACACTTTATTCTAACTAAATTTTATAATTCATTTGCAGCCTGTGTGTCAATCATATTGTAGATGAACATTTATAAATAGTTAAATGTCTTTGCTGTTTGTGTGAGGGAATGAATTTAAATGCCTTTGTGTATCTTTCTAATGATTTTATGGCTGATTTACAGCTGATTCATATGATACTTAAACACAAAATGTGCAAATGGCTTACAAAGGACTAAGTCATGATAAAGTGTTACTACATTGTCAATAATTACACTTGTTTCTTTTGTCAAAAACAGTGTGATATAAGTCAAGCAAGGCTCTTAAAGTGTTCAAAATCAACTTTTTTCCTGAGGTGATGCTGAAAGATAGATTATCAAAGACCAGCTTATTGGTGAATCTTTAATAAAGCCGCCAGGAGTGAGGCCAAAGTGAGCTGATCTTTGAGCACCATGTGAGCAAATGCAGCATGACCGTTCTTGAAGGAGGCACTTAACACGCAGCCACTTCCATGTCTGACTCACATCAGGACTTACAGTAACCGCCAACACACAAACACGCGCTCACGCACAAATATAGGGTACACACACACTCCCCCAAGAAGAGTGCCTTAGCAGCAGCTAAGAGCAGAATTGAAGAGAAGCCAAAGGGAGGTGAAGAGAGATAAAAACCAATCACATTACAGACCTGGGAGAGGTTTCTGTCTGAGACTCCTTCCTGTGAGGAGAGAGGACACACACGGTTACACACAGTGCAGATCAGTCATGTATTATACTGTATTTTATAATCGACACTGCTCCATGTTTTTTAGGGTTAAGCTGGATTAGCATTGAGGATCACTTTTCAAGCGAGAGAGAAAACAGTATTAAGTCACTGGAGTCACAAACCTGCAGAGACTTAAATTTTGGCCACTTGGGGGCAGTGGAAACAAGCTGTGAGCATTACACCTTTTTATGTTGAAATGGTGGAATCTCTCAGCAAACAGTTGCCTACTTGCACATTCAGCAGATACTGAGCAACATAAGCATTCATTTGAAATTGAGTTTGTGTCCATGTGATGAATGCAAGTCCAATATTCACTCTCATTTGTTTCCAAAATACCTGGCAGGTAAATGCGTCCACTGTGTTCACCAGCCAGGAGCTAGCTTTGTCTGTCTGATGTTTGGTGCTGAACAGGTCGTGTATGTTCATCATTACCTTTATGTATAAACAGCCATCTGCTGCGTTCAAACGTGGTACTAAGAGAGCTGTGAGAGTGTGTGTCGGAAAACGGAAACGATGGAGGAAGCTGTAAGGCTCTGTGGAGCTGAGGGGAAACTGAGAATCAGGTGATGATTCTCGATTGCATTATAACCTACAGAGTTGAAAAATATTGATTAAAGTCACTTTAAAGCTGCATAAATCAATTATGCAATTAAGGTTTTTTGGCCTCTTGACCAACACTTAACAAGAGTCAGATATCTGGCAACATGGCGTCTGTTTTGGTTTTGGTTCATCACCAATTCTCGTGAAGTTAAATTGGATCTTCATTATTACGTTGTCTGCCAGTGTCATGGTCGCAGGTTGTGTTTTGATTGGTTGCCTGCTGCTTGTTGAGCGATAACGTTCTCTGCGGTTGTTACTACAACTGAAACCTTTCACATTACACAAAGTTGTTCGAGCCTTGTTAATGTAATAATATTGATTAGTGCAGCTTTATGGATGGCAAATTCTTTCTTTCTTTTTTTCTTGCTTCACTGTTTAATCACTATTATCATCTCACTTATACACATTATCAGCATCCTGATATCAATATTGTCATGAGGTCATGCTTGCTGACTGTCACGTTGATACCTGAATGACTTGCCCTTCAGATTCCTCAGCAGGTCCAGCTGATTCAGGGGTGGAATAAGCCTGAGAAAAGACAGAAGAGCATTTTGTCATTCTTTCGAGACCTTTTCACCAATTCATCGTTAGAAGGTTAAAATTTGCCGTTGGGCACTTTAAAGCTAATTCCATTTCGTTTGGCAATTATCTGTTGTGCTGGTCATCACCCTTTCACCTCAAATTACGACTGGAATGAAACCGAACATGAAGTCGTTTCCAAATGGAACCGACAAGCAGCAAACTTCTACTTCTAGACACATAAGGTCAGAAATCTGCATCGATATTTGCTGATTCATACAGCTGCACCGCAAAATAAGTGGTTAATTTTACAAAGTAGCCACTGGCAATGTTTGTCTTTTGAAAAGCATTTCAAAGGGGCTTTGGTGTCACTGCCAAAACTCCAGCCTCATCCGCTGTAAAATTACCCTTATTGAGGCAGAAAGTGAAAAGCTACATCAGTGTGTGATTCTTCATAACAGACAGCAGCAATCCGATTCAACAGAGGAGTTTTGAATATAATGAGCGGAGGATTTTCTGGAGGTTCAGTTGTCCCCTGGGATTCCCAGTTTTAAGAAACATGGCAGAATGTGATACGGGGAAACAGTTGTATTTATTGGAAATGCTGAATAATGTACAGCATTATTCTGCCAGCTGTATCACTTACCTGTACATTGGGATAGCTACAGTCTGCTCATAAAAATCCCAAGTACACAGCAGATCTGTACGGGAAAGGTTGGTAGCATAAAACCTCCAAGCAGCCTGGATGGAGAAATACAAAAGTCCCTTTATCTTTTTTCTCAGGAGAGCAAAACAGAAATTATCTGTTATAAGAAAAAAATGGCTCATGGTGATGTTATCATACAGTTTATCCTACACATATACCTGGATGAGGCCTGCTGCAGGGTTACGTCTCTTCTCAAAATGTTTTTGCCTGTGTTGCTCCTGGACTTTGAGGGCAAAGCCAGAACCCAGGATGCCCTACACAGAGTGAGAGTGAGTAAGCAGCATGAAATTATCAGTGACCTTTATTGACCTCTACTGGCCAGAAGTTAGAATTGCAACAACAGCAAGCTGTCTCCTGCTACACCTTGTAAAGTTCAGTGAACCCATCCAAGAAAAAATGTCCAGTGAAGTGGCGATATCACAGATTTTCACATGTCTGCAAAACCTCCAGGTAATAGAAATGTGACAGAATGCTGATTTCCTCCAAAGCCATCAGGTGTTAATGGGGCAAAACATTGTGACTGTTTCCTGTTAGCTGAGAGCTGATACAGCAATCCACAGTTTTTTTTTTTATTATTATGTGTGTGATAGACTAAACAGGTCTAAGCTGCTAACTCAAAACTTACTGCTGAGTCTGACATCTTCAGATATCAGCTGAAACGCCGAACATTTAACAGCAATGGACATTACATCAAGGACTGGAGTCACAGCATCATAAGATGAAAGAATGTAAATGGATGAAGAGCAGAATTTTTGTGGACTCAGAGGAAGCTTTTAGCACACAGCGCCACAGAGGACAGATGTACTGTAACAGAATGGTTCATTTAGAGTACTTTCTTTTCTGAGTGACTAGAGTAGGATCATAAAAGACTGAAAATTATGAGGTGGCTGATATACTAAGCTGTAAAAAAGTTCTGCACATCCTTTTCCAATACATTTTTTTTTTTTGTCACAGCAGATATTAAAAGTACAGGTGTAATTGATAACATTAACAATGGTGCTCACTGAGAAAATTAAATTTAACTGAGCCATGATCGTTAATGTTATTAGTTCAACCTGTGCTTTCCCTGCTGTGATTCAAAACTCAAAAAGTTTGCCTGTTCTTGTTCTATATCTTTACTCAGCACCCGTCCTTTATAAAAAATGTAATGTGCTGTGTGGCATGTTTCTGTGAACCTGCCCTTTATTAATCGTTAGAGGAAGCTCCCAAATCAATCAATGACCTCTTCCTGTCCGACCAGTGGCACCTGATGAACCTAAAAAAGACCACTCCTTCACCTCCTCACTCTCTCTCAGGCAGCAGCCTCTACAGCAGCATCAACTTCCTTTACTTCCACTTGGAAGTTTCTGTTCACTTGGCAAATGTGAGAGCCAATATCACCTGTTCTTTTAGCTTTGTTTTGGTCTCCAGAAACTCCTGGTGGAAATGTCTCTTTCCCTACAAAAGACACCACTATTTCCCGCCAGCTGGTTGTTTAATTTTGTCAATTGGTGGGCTGGAAATGTGGTGGATAAGAGCTGTGAGACTGAACTGAAACAGCATAGTTGTGGGCCAGTAAAACCAAAACAATAAGCTGAAAGATGCTACAATGCTTCATAAAACTAAAGGGAACTGTAGAGTGAAGATCATCTGTCACTATGAGCAACACATTTCATATAACATAGTTTGATTTGATCCATTGTTAACATAAAAATACTGATTAGTGCAGCTTTAAAAACATAATTTGCTATGGATTAATATAAAGTAGCATGTGGCATGTTAAATGTCCTTGTTTGTAATAAACAAAAATAAACAAAAGGAAAAGCTAGCAGTTAGCGTAAGAGGTGGTAAATGGAACAAAGAGCAACATCTACAGAAATCCAGTATAGAACTGGACACTGGGAGGTGCAGAGCAGGGACACGGCACCAATAAGCACTCAGCACCATGATGGATAGGGACTAAAATAAACACAAATGAGGCTCTTGAAAATCAGCACTTCAAATGTACTCTAATGAGCCCTGATACTCACAGCAGGAAGTGCAAAGAAGGCCACCCCGATCATGCTGAATGTGGCTGCCAGCAAGCGTCCATACCAGGTCTTAGGAACCTTATCACCATAGCCAATGGTAGTGAGAGTGATCTAGCGAAAAGATGGTACAAATCATTATCGTGACATCCCACAATGCAATGGTTTTTAGTACTTCTAAAAACTGTAAAGTGGTTACTGTAGACATTAGTCTTACCAGTCCCCACCAAAGAGCGTCAGCGTAGGTCTCAAACTCGTCATTTAACTCCTTCTCCACAGAGTAGACCAGGAAGGAAGCCAGGATCAGGCACAGGAAGCCAATGTACCACGCTGTGATGAGCTCCTACAGAGAAAACCAACACAATAAGCATCAGGGAATGGAAAGTAATAAAGTGTCATCTGCAGTGCCTCGCAGAGTTCTGATGTAACCCCTGTGAATTGATTAAAATTGTAATTCTGTAATAATATTGAATGTGACTGTGTGAGTCACGCTCCCTCTGTGGCAAACCAAGTATTTTCATAAACGTCTTTATTTCCCTCAGCTCCACACATGCTACACACACACACACACACACACACACACACGTCCTCTCTCCTTCTCACCGCATCACGCACAAGGACAAAGACACGCACACACACAGCTCTGGAAAATTTCCACAGCTTATTAGTGCAAGCAAATATTTCTATTTCCAAGCTCATTAGAATAAAACTGTCAGAAATATGTTTCCTCACTGCGACAGAGGCACGGCTAAAAATAGTGAGCCACAGTGGAAAACAAAGAGCTTAGCAAACCATATTTGAAGATATATCTGAATATCCGAATTACAGTTGAATACCAGTACCTGTTATACCTGATCATATTGTTGCCAAACAAGTTCAATTCTTCATGTGGACAAAGGCAAAATGTATCTAACCTTTGATAGTATGATCCCAGGGAAAGAGGACGCTGCTAAGGGAAGTAACAGGTGATGAAATAATGCAAGCTTGAAGAAGCAAAAATGCAAGAACCATAATTTCTTTTAATATATTTTACATGTATTCACACAGAAAATGTACACATTTTGTTTTTTGTTGTTTTTTTTTGTTGTTGGCATGCCCATATATAGACATAATTTCCACTGGGATCTTTTCAAAATCCAATCTATGTCCTGGGTGATGTGGCAGTATTCAGGCTGCTATAGTGTGTTTATGGAGGTTGATGTCACTGTTCGCAGAATCTACTCAGACCTGGAAAGAGTATTTTGGCCTCCTCCGCATGTTTTCTGGTTAAAAACTGGTTTTAAAAAGAAACTCAGTATGGAAGTAAGGAAAGGTTAGTTTTGATCATGTAACTGTCCGTAACCTTAACCAATCAGTCAGCGTATCAGAAGATACTGATTGGCTCACCGACCTGTTGTTGCTACAGAGATGTAAAACTACATTGAGATGGTTTATGGTACTTGAAACCACAAATATATCTTCTTATGGATATTTAAACTACAAACAAAACACAGGAGAAGTGTAAAATATGGGACCTTTAATCAAAAACCTTCCCAGTGCATGTAAGCGGACATCAGCCGTGGTTTTAGACGCCACACATTTCAGTAAAGGAGCAGTCAACCCCTAGAGAACCTCTACAGAATAAGAAACAAAGGAGATGATGTGAGGATCACCTTGCTGTGGGCATAAACTACAGATCCGAGCAGCTTCCAGGTGCCTCCACGCCGGTCCATACGCAGCATGCGCAGGATCTGCAGGAATCTCAAACTCCTGATGGCAGAGGTGGCAAAAACATTGCCCTGAGATCCTGCTGCCAGTACAGACACTGAGGCGATCAGTACCATGATGTCTGGAGAGAGAAGCAACACACAGTCAGAGATAGTACATCCTTGATTGAGTCAGACTGAATTACCAACAGTTCGCTGTGTACAATGAGGATCATATTTCTTTTCATTTGAAGGTTGCCCCGAGTACTTTGTATTAGAAGTGTTACATCTTCAGTGAGGTTTCTATGGTTACACCTCGTATCCAGCATAACCTCAAGCAAAAAAAAAAAATGCTGAAAATCACATGAAATCATAACAAAGATGGTTAACATATTCCCAGCATGTGAAAATGGAAGGAATGGAAAAACACGTTAATGTGTCTTGTGTTTTGTTGCTCTGAGTAAACAAGGTGACAGAAATGACAGCCGGCCATGTTTTCTCACCTATGACACAAAAAGGCTTTCTGGCAAATTTCAGCCTCCCTCTCCATCCTCTGTATCGACAGCAGCAGCCGGCAGCCCATATCCTGACAATGTACTCCACTCCGAACACCACGATGGTCACAATTTCCTGAGGAACGAAGCAAAACAGCGGGGTTAACCTTGTGAACATGAATGTATATGCAGGAGAGTGTTACAGTAAATGAAATGATACCCACCAGAATGTACAAGGCACTCTCTGAGCTATTCTTGAACTCTTTGATGGTGGCAAACACCGAGAGTATGAGACAAGAGAAGACCAAGAGGAATCTGGAAGAGAGGTGACAGTGTGCGAAAGAGGTTATTGCTTTTTCTTTTTAACATGTGTCACTTGATGAATCCTGTTTTGAGACAGAAAGTATGGTGTATACAAAGAAACAGCTGTCTTGATTCATGTGTTGGCGAAGCTGAACTACAGCAAAGCCACCCAAGAGAGAGATCTAGTTTGGTTAACTACAGCTACTTAGAAAAAGTACATCAGTTCAAATCACATGTGATATGAAATCATAACAAAACTAAAAAGACACATGCTGGCAAAAAATGCATCTCAATTGAGTTTATGGCAAAAAGTAATCATTTGTTCACAGGTCATACATGAACAAAAAAAAAAAATACTATTCATGGGAAAGTGCTGCAATGTCAGCTGTGGTTTAGTCAACAATAACTGTATGATCATGGTGAGTCTTCCTCAGGCTGAGATTCAGGACATTTATCCATGATGTTGTCGCTGTTTGAGCACAGAGTTCAAGCACCTGTCCTTGGCTTTTGCACCTGCACTACACAAAGATCAAGTGTGCGGTGGTGGCTGACTGACTGACAAATGCATGTCGTCACAGTGATCACGATGAAAGAAAAAAGGGGGCAGGGCTGGTCAAGGGGAGTTCAGTTACACAAGAGATGCAGTGGTAAAATAAAAAATAAATTATTAAAGAATAATTCCTTTCCTTTTATGGCCCAAAATTATTTGTAGTTTCAGTAGTTAACTAGACAAATTTAACTTTAACTACTGGAAACCAACAATGCTGTAGAGGCGCTGTGATGCCAGTGGGATGTTTCTGAGTGGCTGGGTTTATTTGCTTATCGATTAAGCCATAAAATCCAAATGTTGTGTATTTGATGTGTTAAGCAGGTGATAAACACCATGAGTGTTATAGATCAAGATACCTTTAAAGTAAAATCACAGATTGTCATGTCTGTATGAAAAATCATCTTAAATGGTCAGTTGAGCCCCCGCCCAAAAACACTTAAAAAATGAACATGTAACAGCATCATGTCGTTCAGAAACAATATTCATCTTGACAAACCACAGAGTCACATGAACAGTGATCATCAGGACAATTTGTTTAAAAAAAAGTTTAAGTGGCTACAGCTGGGGACTGAATGAGTGATTACAGATGCAGACCCTGGGTGGTGCCTTCATCAGTGGAAACGAGCCAAACTGCATCAACAGCAGCAGCTCAGTTAGAAAGAGGAAATGAGCGGATTAGTAAGTAAATAACAAGGAAAGTTCAGGAGAGGAATTGAAGGGAGGCAAGAAGATGAAGTAAGGTAAGGTGAAGGGTCATTTAAACACTGATTTACCCTTCGTCAGAATGTGTATTTACTGGCTGTGTCAGTCAGAAGCTCCTCACAAGAAAGACTGAAACTTCTCAACCTCCTCCTTACAGTCCAAGTCACATTATCTGCCTTTCGCAAAAATCATAAGCGGTGTTTATTATATTATCTTATTTCAACCATTCAAAATCAATTCTGCAGCCACACATCTCCGGAGGAGACCATCAGCTTTATTGGATGGAGGATAACATATGAATTGAGGAGGAAGAGGCGCAGCGGGGCCTGACCTCAGGGACGTTCTTTGAAAAAGATCTGCTGGAGGGGATCCAAAGCAGAGCTAATGGAGATGGCCTGATGAAACCCAATACTGGGACGATGCAGGATTTTAAAAGACACAGGCGCAACCGACATTAACCTTAGTAGAGATACAGTGAAATGACATCAAGTATCTCCTGAACACAAGATCAGGTGTTACACTTTAAAGCTCAGACTACACTAGTAAGGTCATTTACTGTACCAATAAACAGTATGAGATGCAATTATCGTTTCTGCTATGTAAGAGTGAGCTAATCAGTAGATACTTAGTTTCAATTAAGCAAAACTTTTATATGAAATATTACATCAACAAAGACACACACATACAGCATGGCCAGCTCGTGACATTTTGGCAAACAGGGTATCCATATGTAAATTATTATACAGAGTCATGTTTCTGTCTTAATTTAGCCAGAATTCATTGTAACACAGTCTGGCTTAAAATAATCAAGAATTAAACTGCTTTGTGCAAGAGAGGAATTCAGATGCCCATCTGAAGTCTGACTATTTGTTATATCTAAGCCACAGTCAAAGTCTATCTTAGTGAAACCGGCCCCAGGATTTAATTTTGTACATGTACATGTCACTGTCAGCGTATTCAAACTCTTTAGCAAAAGCCTGATTGTAAGGCTGACTCTTCTAACACAAAACACCCTCCTCAGAAGTTAAAAACACTGATTGGCCTTGAAGTGTATATTAACATGTTTTTGTTCTGATAATGATCTAAGCAGTTCAGAAGCAAAAAGCAAAAGCTTAACTCACAAAATAAAATACAAATGCAACAAGATAAATGTGTCTTCCCTTAGAGAAAGCTTTTAAAGTAAATGCAGAGGGAATTTTCACATGATTCACCCTGATGTCTAAGCTTTTACTCTCCATTATGGTCAATCAAGCCTTCATCAATCCTACCTTGATTCCCTAAGTGTTTTTTAGAAATAATAACAATAATAATAATCCTTTTTTCATTATAATTTACTGCAAATTTCTCATTTCCCCTTCTCTGCTGCTGCAGTTTCACTTTGGTCATGTCAAACTCTTGGCAGTGGCCGCTGGCTGTCAGCCAATCAGAATGAAGCGGCAGAGATTGATAGTGTGTGGCAATGGTCAAAAAGACAGTCCATGGACATGCTGATTCTTTATGATATTCTTTATTATTCTTCATCAGAGGCAAAGCAAAACCAGACAACAGGAAACAAAATGAGACTCTCGACTGCACTCTACTGTAGCTGCAGCAGTTCTGTACATTTAACTTTTAGGTTAGACTGAGGTCATTCTCTCGCACATCTACGATATATGTGTGTTTTTGGCATCTCATACATCATTAATGACTGCAGCAGTCAAGGCTTGCTTGGTAAAAGTGAGCTCTACATGCACTGAGAAAGCTTTTATTACATTCTGCCTCAAGTCTGCAGCTTGTATAGTTTGGATTTTTGAATCCATGTAAGATGTTGAAAAGCTTCTCTGGTAAATTAGAATCACAGTCAGTATAGATTTTGTCAATTTAAATTAACAACACTGTATTATTGTTAGCAAGGTTTATTTTACTTGTGTTCTAGGTCACTAAATTTTTCAGCCTTTTTTCTGACAGGTGGCCTATATATGCCTGTGATGGCGAAAACACAAATTCTCTCCCTCCTCCTTTTAGCACCCGTTTGATGCCCTAATAATCACCTCCATCACCTCATTCTGCTAGAGAGAGGGTGCAAATGCAGTGTGCACACTTTGTCACTGTTTTACATTTAATTTATATATCCATTACTCGAAAGAAATAAACTTATATCCATGTAGGTGCCTGTTTTTTCCACTGCGGTGTAGCCATGAGTCGTATTAAGGTCAGTCAGTCAGAGACTCAAGACACTTCACATCTTGTCATTCACAGCACTTTGATCTGTCACATTGATTTGTCATTTCACCATCTGAACACCAACATTTTTTTGTGCAAACTGGAAACGTATCTAAAAATCAGACTTCTTGGTCAGAGTTCACGACTCTATTTTAATCACACTGATAAGGAATAGTTCCTGAACTGTGAGACTCCAGATCATCAGTTCACCCTGCCAAGAAACAGTCCAGGACATAAACCCCTGTGAAACCACTAATTGTCGTTTTTACACTTTGGCTTGTTGGCAGATTAAACAAGTAGATGTAAAGTGTTCACTGGTGAGCTTCAGAGCCAAAAGGGGATTTTGTTACCACTCGGCAAAGCTGTTTAAATATAGTTACAGTCTTAATGCTGAGCTAAGTAAATCATCTCCAGGTTGTAACTTAATATTTAACACACACTATGCTATAGTTTGACATTTTTATGCCTTCCTGTACTGTTTTCATACCTTACTAAACTATGATGGGTTTTTTTTTTGTTTTTATAGCTTAATATACAAAGGCATTTTTAGATATTTTTATACCTCACCACACTATGATGTTTTTTCAAATTTTTATGCCTCATTAATATATGATGTTTTTTGACATTTTTTATCGTTTTTATGCCTTAGTATACTATGACGTGCCTAACTGTACTATGATGTTTGTTGACATTTTATGGCTAACTATAATATGTAATTTTTTTGTCATTTGTATGTCTTACTATAATATATTTTTTATGCCTTACTATGCCATGACGTTTTTTGACATTTTATGCTTTACTATAATATGACATTTTTTATCACTTGCATGTCTTACTAAACTATGATGTTTTTATGCCTTACTACGATATGACGTTTTTTGACATTTTATGCCTTACTTTATTATGACGTTTTTTGATTATTTCATGCCTTACTTTACTATGAAGCTTTGTTGACAATTTTATGCCTTACGATACTATGATGTTTTTAGTTGTTTTATACCTAAGTATACTATGAAGGTCTTGACAATTTTATGCCTTACTATACTATGATGTTTTATGCTTTACTATACTGTGATGTTTTTTGAAATTTTTATGCCTTCCTATACTAAGATGTTTTATGCCTTACTATACTATGCCATTTTGTGGACAATTTTATGCCTTACTATACTATGCCATTTTGTGGACAATTTTATGCCTTACTATACTATGCCATTTTGTGGACAATTTTATGCCTTACTATACTATGATGTTTTATGCTTTACTATACTGTGATGTTTTTTGAAATTTTTATGCCTTACTATACTAAGATGTTTTATGCCTTACTATACGATGACATTTTTCTAAAAATGTTAGGCCTTACTATACTATGACATTTTTAAAAAAATTTTATGCCTTACTATACTATGATGTTTTTTTTGACAATTTTATGCCTTACTATACGATGACGTTTTGTTGACAATTTTATGCATTACTATACAATGATGTTTTATGCCTTACTATACTATTTTTTTTTTTTACAGTTTTATGCCTTACTATACTATGACATTTTTCTAAAAAT